TCAGAAATTCTTGCTAGTATCCAATATTTGCAATCAAACCTTCCAGGCCTGGCACTGAACTAGCAAAGCACTCAACTGGCAAATACTGTGGTATACAACGAGGCCAATGGTGGACTAGGCCTGTTCTCCAGACATTTGGGAGGTAGCCAAGAGAGACAGAGAGAGAGAGAGAGAGAGATCGTGTAAGAAACATACAGAGAGAGAGATCGTGTAAGAAACATAGAGAGAGAGAGAGAGAGATCATGTAAGAGACATAGAGAGAGATAGATCATGTAAGAAACATAGTGGTGATCCCCATCATTAGGGTTGTTATTTCGTCACCGTGATGTGCTCGACTTCCTCAACATTGTCTCCTCTCCCAGTAGAGCCAAATCATTCTCATGGCATGATCCTTGGTATCCCTTCTTACACATCCACATCTCCCAAACATGCGGTACTAATTTCCGCGACATGCAGCATTAATTATCACTCATGCCACCAAGTACTTCATTCCTCCCATTTATACCCTATTCCTCAAACCCTCTACTGCCATAGCATCACGGGTGTTTCGTCTTCTCCTGCATCATATCCATCATGGGCATGTCTTCTTCTTCTTATTATTATTAATATTATTATTATTGTTATTATGATTATTATGATTATTATGATTATTACTGTAATTCATCTGCTAGTCTCCTGCTCTTCGCGGACAATATTTTCACCAATCTGCTACAGTTCAAGCACTCTCGCGGACAATATTCTCACCAATCTGAACCAATTGGCTCCGGATATCCTGATGCCCAGATTCTTTTCCAGTGGTCTCGACGTCTGGACTGAAGCAGACAACTGTGGATGTCTGGATCCGTATGCTGTCGCCAGGTCCACGCAACCATGAAAAAATAGTCTCCTACCGTTCAAGCACTCTCACAACCACCACTATTTGAGAAAATAAAGACTAAAATAACCCAAAAGAGCCCAAAATATAAGCGAAATGAGACATATTGTTACTAGCATGTTCAACTCCACCCCCACAACAACCACTTACCAGGAGAAAGGAAGCCCAAAACACCGACAAAACAAAGAATGTTCTTGTGACCATGTTAACCTCCACCCTCACAAGAGCCACTTATCAACAAAAAAGAGTGGTGAAATACCAACAAAATGCAGAAACAGTCTCCCAGTCGTTGCCAAGGGTCAGCCGTGAAGGGACCGGCTCAACCCTGAGGACATAGGTTCAACCCTCCCTAAGGGGATAAGCTCAATCCCGAGGGGATCGGCAGATGGCGTAACCCACCCCTAAGTTAGCCTCAATGAATGTAGATATCGATATGCGGAAAAAATTGAGAGAAAAAATACATGTATAGAGCTCTCCCACAGTGAGGAGAACACAGTGTAGGAAAAATGAGCAATAGCGAGATAACAGAATCCAGATTGCATTTTCACATTGAAAGCCAGAAAGTCCCACAGTGGCCAGAGAGCAGCATTGCACCAATATTACACCAATGGAGAATCGAAACACTGAAACCGAATGTCAATGAGAGCTTACTCTCATCATCACCAACATAAGTGTCCAGGCCCTTCCCCCTACTTGGGGCTCGGCGCCCAGACTACCCCCACACAGCTACCATCTGCTTACGAATTGACAATTCAACTGTTGACGTCAGCAGCCACCGAAGTACATGAAGATGTCGCCACTTGCAGACTATCCCCATAACCAGGTATGTGCCCTCAGTGCCCCTCACGTCATCCTCCTCATCTCTCTCTCTTACTCTCTCCCTTGTCTTTCACCCACGTCTTCCCCCTCATGCACGAAGACCACCACTACTCCTTACTGTATCACCAAGACCCAGCCAGCCATGGAAGCTGGCCTATGGTGCTGCCCTCAGCAGCACCCTTCCTTCACACTACTGCACGTGTGCTGCACCTTGCTCTGCGCTAGCAGTAGGCTGCGGCCCGGCTGTGCTGGGCCTGCGGCCAGAAGCCTCTGGTAGGCCCCGGGTAGCTGGGCCGTTGCTGCTACTGCCCTGGGCCTCGATTGGTTTTGCCTCCCAACTGCCTGTCGTGTATACTGCTGCAGATGTGGCCCAGGGCCTGCCTCGAAGAAAGGCCGAAACAAAGTGTGGCTGGCCGTGGCCTGGGATCCTCCAACCAACTGACGCGACGCAACGGCCTGAACCCCAAATGCAAAATTGACAACAATGACCGCTCGTGATCTTCTCAGGCCCGCCTTCACTTAGGGCGGGTCCCTTAGGCCTGCCGAGGAGCAAGATCCTCGCAACAGCTTAAAAAAAAAAAAAAAACAGAAATACTAAAATACTGTTACTTCAACTTATTTGCACATTTAAGTCCCTCATAACCACCACTTATGTGAAAGGATAAAGGAGAAGTAGAAAGAGAGCGGAGGCCCAAAATACCAACAAGAGCCCGAACTATCAATGACAGGCATTGACTGCCCAAATTATCAAAATACCAATAAAACCCGACAATGCCAATAAAATCCCAACATACTCATAAAAGCCTGTGTGGGGATCCGGGCTGCCCGGGTGACCGGCAGGGGCCCGCGGGAGGTCCCAGGCGGCCTGGCCGGGCAGGGCACCCGTTTGGGGGCCGGGCCCCCCCAGCACACTCACCTGTCGGGGGATTTCGGACCCCCTTTGTGTGTGTGTGTGTGTGCGTGCGTGTGTGTGTGTGTGTGTGAGAGAGAGAGAGAGAGAAAGAGAGAGAGAGAGAGAGATGTGTTCGAATCATACTTGCAGCGCGTCTCATGAGCGGGGTGCGCGTGCACGAGGTGCCGCACGCGCACCCCGCACATGCACGCACGCACAAGTGATGCATCGCATTAAAAAAGGAGAAAAACAAAAATGTCCTAGTTGTGCCCAGCCTCTTTTCGGAAGCATCCCTACAGCATATTAGCTAGGACCCGACGTCATGCAGAGATACACTTCAAACTTGTACTCTCTGAGGGTGGGCAGATAATATATAGTCTGGATTCAAATTCAGGTCTGTGCATGTCGGTTATGGGTCACTATTTCTTTTCTTTTCTCGTTTTTTTTGTCTTAGGAATACGTGCAGTGGCCCTAAGGGCCTCTACTCACCAAATGCACACTCACCAAATGCACAAAAGACAAAACATATGGTGGTGTATTATTCCACGTTCTGCAGAAGATTCATTCTAATTTTGCACATTTCGTGAGTAGTGCAGCCAAGCCCTAAGAGTCACGTGCAGAGACCAACAGGGCCTAGCTACGTGAGCAACCCATAACTGCTGAAACACAGACCTGAATTTGAATCTTGAGTATAAATTCCGCCAGCTCGTGCTCTATTTCATATTCAATGCCTGCCTCAATTTTGGTGGGGGTCTGCGCTACATGTCTGCCAGGACCCTTCAGATAGCCTGCATGGGCCGCCTGAGCCGTGTTAAGGGGATCCGTTCTCTCTCTCTCTCTCTCTCTCGTGCGCGCGCGCGCGCACCGCCCCTTGTACACGCACACACCCCTTACAAAAAAATTGAAAAAAAGAAAAAAGCGCATCTGCGCCCCATCACAGACACCCCCCAACCCCAGCACCCCCCACCAAAACCAAAATTTTATTGCAGATTCGGGGTCCTCTTGCCGAGCGCAGAACGACCCCGGTTTCAATATATATATATATATATATCGTCAATATATCGTCAAATAGAATATATATATATCGTCACAAACAGAACTGCCCGGTAAAACCGTAGGCTGAGAGAGAGAAGAGGACAACAAACGAGGGGCTGTGACAAACTGTTTCGTCGGAGTTTCACCGACTCATCATATATCGTCAAATAGAACTGCCCGGTAAACCGTAGGCAGAGAGGGAGAAGAGGACAACAAACGAGGGGCTGTGACAAACTGTTTCGTCGGAGTTTCATATATATATATATCGTCACAAACATATATATATCGTCAAATAGAACTGCCCGGTAAACCGTAGGCAGAGAGGTATATATATCGTCACAAACAGAACTGCCCGGTAAACCGTAGGCAGAGAGAGAGAAGAGGACAACAAACGAGGGGCTGTGACCAATATATATATATATATATATCGTCAAATAGAACTGCCCGGTAAACCGTAGGCAGAGTATATATCGTCACAAACCGTAGGCAGAGTATATATATCGTCACAAACAGAACTGCCCGGTAAACCGTAGGCAGAGAGAGAGAAGAGGACAACAAACGAGGGGCTGTGACTATATATTGTCACATCACTACAAACTAAAAGAGCGCACTTTGCGGA